GGTTTTTTTCACATCTTTTGTTTCCTTAACATGTTGCACCTAATGCTACCTGTTAGAGCATTAATAGAGATTTTTAAATTACCATTTGCTAGCTTTATTCATTGTGGATATCCTGACTATTGTCAACTCGTTCCTCATCATTTTTTTTTCTTTTAAAAATTCTTTCACCATGATGGAGTTCAACTGTTTGTTCTTGTAAATATGGCCAGAAAATAATTTTTTACCACATTTAAAGCACAGGTTATGCAATCTTCTTTGCTCTAAGAGAGTTTACTTTTGTGTAGTTAATGTTGTATTAAGGTTGATTTTTTATGGTTGGAACTAGAGGTTATAAGGGTTCTTGAAAGAAGTATAAGTGTTTTTGGTAAAACTAGGTTTAGTATGTGATTTGTTTTTTTTATATTCAACTTTCAAAGGTAGCTGGTGTAACTTAGCTTACCTATAAGTTGCTACCAAAGTCCGAGGCTCGCTAGCCTTAACTCTTGATTTAAGGTATTTCTTTAGGGCACTTATAAAACTGGATACAAAACATAATTCATCCAAATAGAGGTTATTCTAAAGCATGAATCGTCTTAGCTCTTCAAATTTCTCTTAATATTTTTCCATTGTGCTCTTTTAAGTCAGCTTGTTAAATTCTTCAATCACATCCAAATAGGTCTTGTCACAAATTCGCTAGTAGAAATCATTAAAAAAATTTTACCATGTAAATCTTAGTTTCTACATTAAGTATCCATCATACCATATTTTTACTCTACCAGTTAAATACATAGCAGCTATATCTATTTTTTAATAATCTGACACTCTAAAAATGGTAAAATACCTCTGATATTTTTTTAATCATCCTCTAAGATTCTCACTCGAATAATGAAAATCTGATTTTTGGTTGAGAAATAAAAGCAATTAAGCTTATAGGGTAGTTAGTCCCATATGAAGCTTCAATATGTTTGTCTATCATTATGCTATTATGTATATTATTAAAGTTACTGTCTTGCTAAAGTTTTGGTAGTAACCCTAGATCATTAGGCCTATAGTTAGACTTATTATATTTATCAATAATAGTTATCTTAATAGAATTCTTGCCCTCTTTTTTTATTTGCATCAAGGAAGCTAAATGAGAACTACCAACATGCCTCTTTCCTCTTGGATTTGGTTAGGTTAGAGATTCTCTTTTTTGTAATAAGAATTTTAGCATTTTGGCCAATAAGAATTTAGGCATCTTGTTCAAACTGTTGTAATTCTCAACCATCTTGATTTTCAAATCTTTTTCTATCTTCCTATAGTTTTGACATAGAGGTTTGTGTTGCCTTTATATTCTTCAACTGTGTCAAGATATTTTAGACCTATTCATGTAAACTATGCAATCGAATGCCTTTAGCTATGGAGAATTGTTTCTTACTCTTTCCTAGCATTGATATGATATCCTAACGAGCTCTGATACCAATTTGTCATGACTCAGTTATGACTTGATTAAGATTTTAGAGATTAAGAAAAAAATAGAAGAGAATTGAAAAGACTAAAGAGAGATTATAGAAGAATTGAAGAGACTAAGAAGAAAATAGAGAAAAATTTAGATGAGAAATTATCTTTCCATTCATGAAAATCAGTTACAACCATAAATTATTTAAATAAAACTATTGTGGAACTATCATACAAATTGTAAAAAATACAAATTTGTAGACTATTACTAGCCAATAGATAAATAACTAACCTTAACCTTAATATATTAATAACTGATATCATCATTTTCTGTTATAGTCTTGGCCATACCGTTATTGCTTTTTTCCACCAAGTTCATCACAATCTTTTTTTGATGATGAACCAATTTCACATGGAGAGATTGATTTTTCTTTTTTTTTTTATTTTATCAGTACTTAAAAATAAGATCTCTTATTGTTTTCACCATTAACTTCTTAACTTTTATCTTAAGCATTTTTATTAGTTTTATAAATATCCCTTTCAACTTTGATTCATCTATACTTTCTTTCACTAATCTGTTCTGAAAAGATCTCCTAGGATTAAACAAGATAAGGTTTAATTCAATCTTCTAACCTTGAAACCATACCCCATTGAGGTTTCATATAACCCTTCTTGCTTCAATCAACAACGCAAACCATACAAACCCAATTTACTTATTACTAGGTGAAGAGGGGGAAAGAGCACTTACATTTGGTCAAAGAACAAATCTCGATACATCCACCAATGAAATGGTTAAAGTCAGTTGAAAGAAGGTTAAAAATGTTGGTGTTTTGTTAAGTGGCCATAATTTGAAGCCTTATTTTGCAATCTTACATTAATGATAGATTGATACAAGTAACTCATTCACTAAATAATCCAATCAATCATACTACAATTGCTAGCAAGTTATAAACCTAAAACACCATGAAGAAAATGGGACATGTTGCAAAAAGAAACAAAATGCAAAAAACCTATTCCTATTACCTATAAACCCAAGGTGTGTATGTTTATGATTGTATACTTTGCAACAATGTATGATATTTTGTTTTAAGAGTTAAACAATTTTAAACTCCTTTGTATTTACTTGATGATTACATGTTTAATATCCAGTGCAAACTATTGCTTGACTCGTAAAACCCATCATTCATTGTGGTTCATTTCTTGATAATTTTCAAAGGGATAAAAGTTATATTGGTATGGAGTTTAAAACATAGGAAAATGCATAAATTATTGCAATTTATGCTGGGTGTTAGAAAAAAAAATTATGAATTCATTAATTTAACAAAATACTAAGGTGTTTTATTTATATAAAAAAAATTTTATTAAATAAAATAAAATCTCATATGATATCGTAATAGTATTATAATCTTACTTTTTATTCTAATTAAAATATCATAATTCTTGATATTATGTTTGATTACATAATTGTACAATACTATAAAAATTACAATAACGTTGGGAATTGTGCATATAATAAAGCCAAAAGAAATTCTAGCATAATCAAGAGGTTTTATGTCTTGAATATTGTATGAGTAAGATCAATTTATATCAGTATAAAATTTTTTAATTTTTCATTATTTTTATAACCATTGATATTAATAGAAATAAATAAGAGAGATAAGTCAAAAAAATAAAAGATGATTTAATCTTATCCCTTAGATATATTGAAATTATGGTACAAAAAGTAAAACTAAAAAGTTTTAACGAACATGAGGGATCATCTAAAATATTGTTTTAGCAAAGAAAAATTTTTTAAAAATCTGAAATATTTTAAAAATTATAAAAAAATAAAAAAACTGAAATATTTTTAAAAATTAAAAAATTATGAAAACTTAAAGAATTCAAAAAATCTTAAAATTTTAATAAAAATACAAAAAATTCACAAAAATGAAAATTTTTATAAAAATAAAATTTTCTTAAAATTGAAAATTTTCACTAAAACTAAAAAAAAATTGAAAATAAAAAATCTAAAAATTTTAAAATAATTGTAAATTTTTCCTTTTTTTTAATCTTACAATTTTAATTTTTTTGTATATTTTATGAATTTTTTACCTCTTTTTTAAATTTTATTTATTTATTTTAAATTTTATTATTTTTATAATATTTCATTTTTTTATTTTTTTTATTTTTAGAATTTTTTAAAAATTTTAAGAAATTTTTAATAAATTTTCATTTTTTAAAATTTTTATTTTTAAAGTTTTCAAAATTTTTCAAAAAATTTTAGATTTTTATATTTTTAAGTTTTTGTGATTTTTTAAATTTTTTGAAAATTTTATTTTTATTAAAGTTTTCATTTTTAAAATTTTTTAGAATTTTTAATATATTTTCATATTTTTATTAAAATTTTAAATTTTTAAAAATTTTTTAATTTTTATAATTTTTATAATTTCTAAAAATATTTTTTATTTTTTAATAAATTTTTAAAATATTCAAATTTTTTAAAATTTTTTTATATTGATTGATGATGTAGATTAATAAATTGATTAATGATGTTAATCATAAATATCAAAATAGAAGACAAAATGAAAGTTAATATATTAAATTCACAATTTTACTTTTTTAGATATTAAATGGACAAAAATTGTATAACACAAGGATTATTTTTATATTTAAACCTTTTTTTTTTCTACTTTTTCAGTCCCAAACCCTAAACCCTCCGTCCGGATCTAGAAGAAAGAAGACTTGATATAAGTTGAAGTAAAACCAGAGAGAGGATCTCTCCGTCAGAGAGTTTAATTCATTGAAAGAGAAGAGAAGAGAAGAGAAAAAAATGGGGATATTTGAGCCATACAGAGCACTAGGTTACATTACCAGCGCAGTTCCTTTCTCTGTTCAGCGTTTGGGCACCGAAACTTTTCTCACCGTCACTGTTGGCAAAGCTTTTCAGATTTACAACGTCATTACTTACGCTTCTTTTTGTTCTTTTACTTTCCCTAATGTTGAAAATTATTGATCTTTTTCCTTTTTGGCTTCCTCTTGCAGTGCTCAAAGCTCAATTTGGTGCTTATTGGTGAGTTTTCTTTTTTTTTGTTTCTTTTTTTGTTTTTTTTGGGTAAAAGCTTTTTCTTTTGCTAGTATAATACTAAGTATTATGAAATGCTGTCCTTGATAGGCCCTCAATTGCCCAAGAAGATTCGAGCTCTTGCTTCGTACCGCGATTTCACATTTGCCGCCTATGGGATTGATATTGCCGTATTTAAACGAGCTCACCAGGTTTATCATTGGTCTTTATTCATTTTTCTTTTTTAACAAAAGGATTCTAGGGTCTAATGGCATGTTTGGCTTTTATAGGCTCTAATTTGAATTAGTCTTTTTCTAGCACCAGTCATGCTTCATTTCTTTGTGGAGTATTATTTATGTAGAATGTTCCTTTATGTTTCTTTTTTTTTTTCCCTTAAAGTTTTGCTCTTTTGGAGTTTGATGGTAAAATCAATGCTTGTGCAGGTAGCAAATTGGAGCAGACACAGTGCTAAAGTCAATTTAATGCTTTTATTTGGAGGCCACATTCTAAGCATCGATGTTGATGGTAATGTTTTCATATGGGCGTTTAAAGGAATTGAAGACAATCTTACTCCAATTGGACATATCAAGCTCGATGCCAAATTCACTCCTACTTGTATAATGCATCCAGATACTTACTTAAACAAGGTAATATCACCTACTTTGTTGTTGATATAGTAATAGATGAATTTTAAATGTCACAATAATATGGTATGTTAAACTGAGAAGCATGTGTACAGGTTCTTATAGGAAGCCAGGAGGGTTCTTTGCAGCTTTGGAACATCAGCACAAAGAAAAAAATTTATGAGTTTAAGGGATGGAATTCGGGTATCTGCAGTTGTGTTTCGTCACCGGCACTAGACGTCGTTGCCGTTGGTTGTTCTGATGGAACAATTCATATTCATAATATACGTTATGATCAAGAAGTTGTTACATATAAACATTCTGCACGAGGCACTGTCAATGCCTTATCTTTTAGCACAGGTATTCCTATTATGGAGCTTTTAAGAGCTCTTTGCTTTTTTCTGGAGCTCATATTTTCTGTAATACATATTGGAATTTGCTTAGGCTGGACTTGGGGTAGGGGTAATTGAGCTGAGCCAATACATGCTAAGCTCGGTTGAGCTTTATTTTATTCTGCTAGAAGTTTGGTATGAAAAATAATCGACCTACTCAAGCTCAACTCAATTAGGCTTTGTAACTTTAACTTAAAATAAGAAGCTTGAAACTTGACTCAGGCTCAAGCTCAAATTCAAAACTCAAAGAAAACTAAAAATATGCAAATATATTATATATATTAAAAATTCAAATGCTCGCAAGTCAGTCTAGTTGAGTATAATAAAGATTGAACATGGCTCTGACTTGTTACTCAAGCAGCTCATGGTTTAGCTCAGTTTTGCAGTGAATGAGTGGAATTTGAATATTCATCGAACAATGCCTGGGTAGCTCACTTGGCTGCAGCCTTTATCTTGGGAAATAATTAAAAGTTCGTGATGAAATTATGGTGGACGTTATTCTTTCTAACCTGTTTTCTTACAGTCAGTTTGAAACAGTTTTCTTTGTTATTATTTTATTCCTTCATGTTCAAAATTAAAAAATAAAAATAACAACCTCCCATATCTCCTAGAGGTTGATCAACTTGTAAATAATACCTCGGGCTTTTGCTTTATTTTCAAACAGTAGAAGTTTAGAGTAGGGCTTTTGTCAAGTGTTTTCTATTATAGAAATATATGCGTACTCAAACTGTTACCTAGCATGTTTATACTGATTGTTGTTCTATATTTTGCAGATGGACAGCCCCTTCTAGCATCTGGAGGTTCATCTGGTGTCATAAGCATATGGAATCTTGAGAAGAAAAGGCTTCAATCAGTCATAAGAGAGGCTCATGAGAGTTCAATTATTTCACTTCACTTTTTTGCTAATGAGCCTGTGCTGATGAGTTCATCAGCTGACAACTCAATTAAGGTATAATTAATTTAGTATCATTCTTCTTTCCTTAACTAGCCATTTGATGAAATTTGGCATGTCTAAATTTTTAAGTGGTTAAAGTAAGGTGAAACACAATGTGGATGCAGTATATCATTTAGTTGCTTTGTATCAAAACTGATGATAATAGTATTGGAGGTTTAAAACTATATGGTATCATATTCAATGCTTTAGAATTATGACTAGAACTATGTTATGGTTTGTTTAAGATTTGACTTTTACACTAAGCCATTTATTCATCTTGTTAAGTCTGATTCTTCCCTTCCTAATTAGAGAACTGGCTGGGAATTTTAGATGCCTCAGGATTGTTATCATAACTTTCCTTCTTACTATCTGATGGTTAGTTGATGTTTTTATGCAAAATTTTGCTAGCAGAAATGGGTTGCATGTTTGATATAATTTAGATTTTCTTTCAGATCAGTGTGGTGCTTATTGGTGTTTGTTTGCATTATGTTCTCTGCCTAGCATGTTCATTCATCTTATAAGGAAATGCCTTTCTGAATTATTATCTTCTGCAGATGTGGATCTTTGACACAAGTGATGGAGACCCTCGTCTCCTACGGTTTCGAAGTGGACACAGTGCTCCTCCACTTTGCATCAGGTAATAGCACTCCCATTGATTTTAGGCATGCATAGCATTCTGTATATTTATTTCCTCCTTAATTTCTTTAACAAGTAAAGGTGTATTAGAATGAATAAGGCCTGTACAATTCAAGAGGGATACCTCTGAAATTGAAATGTGTAGTTGGGACCTTTGAAATTCTAATATGTAGTTACTCTGGATTTCCATCTAGTCTGTGCTTCAATTATTTTCAATGTTTTCTTTAGAAAATCTTTTTGGCCGTGAAATACTTGTTTTAAATTTTACCTATATATGGCAGGTTCTATGCCAATGGAAGGCATATCCTGTCTGCTGGCCAAGATCGTGCTTTTCGCCTTTTCTCTGTCATCCAGGTTTGGCATCTATAATCACTAGAATTTTATTTTGCTTCATGAAAATATTTGATATGCATGATATTTCTGATTGACCACTGCACAAGTTTATGTACATCCAAGTGAGTCCTCTTTCATAAAAAAGTTCGGAGTTTCTGAAAGTTGTTTGGGCTCAATTGAACTATCTATTTAAATAGATGCAGAATTCCCAATAATCTCTTCATAAAGTAGCAGATTCATTTAGTAAAGTGTTCAGTTCCTTATACCATCTTGCTTTGATGGTAGCAGAGTTACAATCCATTTACAAGCAAAAAATAAAAGGAAATAATACCCTGTTCATGCTTTGATAAGTTATCATTATCATTTTAGATTTATGTAGATTATTAGTGGGGCCTGAAGGGTTTTCTTTTATGTCTTATATTGGTCATTAACCATTTGATATTATTTCATTTTATTGGCTTTTCTGTGAAAGATTTCTTTTCTCAATCTTTGTTTGTTTACCTTTTGGTTCTGCATCTTTTAAAAATTTTTAATGGGGTTTGTAATTTAAACATTGGGTCCTAGACTTGTTTACTTATATTGGCCAATATTTTTTTATAAGGTCACCATCCATGTTTTATTTTGTGGGTAGGGCTTAGTACCTTCCTAGAGTCCAAACCTAACCTTTACTTTGGCATTTTAGTTCTTTGATGTGCATCTGCTCTTCATTCCTATTGAAATTGTTTGAACTAAAATCTAGACTTGAATGTCATATAAACCTTTTGTCTAATTCTAAGTACTTTTTATGCATGCATGACCTGATAAAAAATCCTTTATTTATCTACTCTGCCATTCAATAGGAGCTTAGATCCCTGGGTGCATGTTACTCATTATGTTGTTCTTACTACCATTCTCCATCCATGAAATTCTATATTAACATGCTACTTCACAATTTACATAATTTTCTAATTTGTTGGTAAACTGTAAAATTTGTTGTGATCAGGATCAGCAGAGCAGAGAGCTGTCTCAAGGTCACATATCTAAGCGAGCCAAGAAATTAAGAATGAAGGTATGGCTGGGGTGACATGTCGTACTTAGCTGACTTAGTTAGCATGATTATACCTAAATGATAATCTGAATACAGTACTACTAATTCTGTAAATGTTGTAGTTCTTGTTTATATATTGAATTCTTGTGTTCAGCTTCTTTGTTTGTTATTTTCAATTTCAGGAGGAGGAACTAAAATTAAAGCCAGTTATTGCATTTGATTGTGGTATGATCTTCCACTATATGCTCTTTTATCATTTAGAAACATGAATCTGTTTCTTATCCATTCTTGAGTGATGGTATGTACTTTTGTTATGTCAAATTGATCTAAGTTTGGCTCTCCCTCTCTCTATCTCTCTTTCGATAAATAAAAGCTGAAATTAGGGAGCGAGATTGGTGCAATGTGGTTACATGCCATATGGATACTGAACAGGCATATGTGTGGAGACTTCAAAATTTTGTGCTTGGGGAGCATATCTTGAGACCATGTCCTGACAATCCCACACCTGTGAAGGTTGTGCTTGATCTAATTCCTAAACCCATTTAGTTTTTATATGTTATTGACAACTTTTATTGATTAAGATCTGTAATAATATTTCTCTTGCACCAAAATTTAGTGCACGCATTGAATGCTCTTTCCAAACTTGTGTATTTTAAAAATACAGCCAAGATGGCTGAAGTACCATTCGTTTAAAACATTAAGCTGAAAATACTGCTGATATTAGACTATTTAAAGATGAAAAATAGCTGCTAGAAATTAGTATTTCTTGAACCATATGAATTGTAACTGATGATTTTTTCTATCGGATTGCAGGTCTGTACCATCAGTGCTTGTGGTAACTTTGCTGTTCTAGGGACAGTAGGTGGTTGGATTGAGAGATTCAATCTCCAATCAGGAATCAGTCGAGGTAGTTATCTGGACATGTCAAAAGGAACTGCTCATGATGGAGAAGTTGTCGGAGTTGGTTGTGATTCTACAAATACCTTGATGATAAGTGCAGGATATCATGGAGACATTAAGGTATATTCTTTCCTAGATAATTGTTCTACTTCCCTAATCTTAACACTGACTTCTAAGAGTAATATGGGAATATAGCTTTTGATATTTCTCGTCTGATATAGTTGTTGTAAATTGAGCAATATTTTACATACTCTTTTATCAATTAAAAGTACATTATATAAAAAAAAGGGGGCCATTGCCTTTTTGTGCCTCTTGCCACTCAAGGTCTTTACCTCAATAAGTAAGCTGTGCCCGGAAAGCTGTGAAATGCTGTTGCTAGATTGCAATACCCCTTATCCCAGTCACCCTGATTGACTACACTGGATATTGGATTAAATCCGACCTTTTCCAAGTTGGTTGGAAGTGGTTGTTTATTTATGCCTTTTCCATAGCCCAACCCTAGAAATTGGGTAACAGGAAAATTATGCACTAGGTAGGGGTATTTATAACCTTATATAGGCTTTAAGTTGTGTTTGTTGTGGGAAAAGCAATTTTACCCCGTTTTTTTCCAGACAAGAAAGCAATTTTTGCATTGGATCCACCTTGATTTATGTTTGAAATATTTTCCATCTAGTTACAAGAAGTTCTGATGGAAACTTGTCCTAATCTATAGAATTTACTTAAGCATGCAGAGCAAACCAACAAAGCTGATTGAGTTTTGCTGGATATTATTATTTGTCGAATTGATTCTTTGTGCAGGTCTGGGATTTCAAGGGACGTGAATTGAAATCTGGATGGGAAATCGGATGTGCTGTGGTTAAGATTGTTTACAATCGTCTTAATGGTGAGCGTTCTTTTGATCTTTGTTATCATCAGTGTCAAACCTTGGGTTTTCTGTCTGTGTGTCTGTCTGTGTGCATGTACTCCTGCATCTATGTGGTCTCTCTGCCTATTCATTCCCATTTCTTAGTTTTTTCATGGTCTTTAAATCATATATTAAGCAACTGCTTTTATCTTTTACTTTATTTTGCAGGTCTTTTAGCCACTGTAACTGATGATTTGCTTATCCGTTTATATGACGTCGTGGCATTAAGAGTGGTTCGTAAATTTGAAGGCCATACAGACCGTATTACTGATTTGTGTTTCAGTGAGGATGGCAAATGGCTTTTATCATCCAGCATGGATGGGAGTTTGAGAATTTGGGATGTTGTCTTAGCAAGACAAATTGATGCTATACATGTTGATGTGTCTATCACAGCATTGTCCTTGTCACCAAATATGGATGTTTTAGCAACTACCCATGTTGATCAGAATGGGGTTTATCTGTGGTAAGTTTTCAATTTTGTCTCACTTTATCATTATATGGGCTAAAGAAGTTGGCTATTAGTTGGGGTTATATCCTTTTTGATCTTTCTATTCACACTAAATAGCTGAAAAACCTGAAGCAGAAGCTTGTTGATGTGATGAGATGTGATGTAATGAATTTCTTCTAGGTAAATAACATGAATGATAATTTTCACACTTGGAAAAACGTGCAGAGGATAAATGTGATACATTTTAGTCATTCAGACCATGTTTGGTGCATATGATGATGATATGATACGATGATAATCATCCTATATCATGTTTGACTTGTATCTAAAGAAATGAATATGATTGGAAGGAGGATTAGTCATCCTCTTGGCATAAGATAATTCAATCCTCTCAAAGTGAAAAAAATTATTTTTAATCCATGGGATTAAACTTACATGTTCTATTATATCCTTCAAAATTACATCAATAATTTAAATTGTATCAACTTTGAAGAGGGATAATTTTGATAAATAGATAAAATTAGTCTATTATAATCCTTGCAAACATCAAACGCAAGATAAGATGATATTATGTAATCTAATCCTTTTTATAATATCATCTTATTCTATCCTATCATAATCTTATGCACCAAACACACACTCAGTGTATGATAGTAGGTGTTACTTTGGACTATACTTGGTTTTATTTCTTAGTAAGAAACTTTAAATGGCTGGCAATTTTATTCAGGGTTAATCGGTCAATCTTCTCTGGAGCTTCAATTGTGGATTCCTTTGCAAGCGGGAAGGAAATTGTAAATGTAAGGTTGCCGTCCATCTCATCTATGGATGGATCTCAAACTGAAGATTCTGATGAACCCGTTGTTGACAAACCTGTTTCAAAAGATGCTTCTGTTTCTGCAACTTTCATTAAGCGGATACCAGAACTAGTTACTCTTTCTCTATTGCCAAAAAGCCAATGGCAAAGCTTGATCAATTTAGACATTATAAAGGTCTCTCTTTACTCTCCCCGAATGCTTTTTCTTAAGTAGTTAGCTATTGAAAGTAAATATGTTAATTCTTCTTTTTTTTTACATCATTTTTTTTGCCATTATACATAGTTTAGGTAGGGTTTCTGCAAATATTGACTCCATAATTGCATTATCAAAAAATCAAAAAATAATAATTGCAGGTTCGCAATAAACCAATTGAGCCTCCTAAAAAACCTGAGAAGGCTCCTTTCTTCCTGCCTTCGATTCCATCTCTTTCTGGAGAGATATTATTCACGCCTAGTGAAGCTAATGGGGATAATGATGCAAAAGACAATAAACTGGAAAAGAATGAGAAGAAATTTGATATGCCACCATCTCCATTTTTGCAACTTCTTCAGTTCTCTGCAGAGATGAAAAACTGTAAGATTCCATTGTTGAAAATTTATCTAACATCTATGGTAAACATCTTTGAAGCTCATATTTATGTGCTTAACATGTTGTAGTTTCAGCATTTACTGATTATATTAAAGGCTTGTCTCCTTCGGCTTTGGATATGGAGCTTCGGATGCTTCAAATCATAGATGATGAGAATCACCAAGAGCTTGATAGGAGGCCTGAGATGATTTCAGTCGAACTATTATTGGATTATTTTATTCATGAGATCTCCTCCCGGAACAACTTTGAGTTCATACAAGCTGTTATCAGGTTATTTCTGAAGGTATTGCTTTCTTACCTTATTTAAAGGGATTCCATTTTTTGGTGTACAATATTTTGCTCAATTGCCAATTTGGTATGATCTTAAGAGGTTTGATAAATTGTTTGAGTCAGCAATTACTTCCAAATTCTGAATTCATAAAATCTCGGAGTGTTTGAGTTAGTTTTCCTTGATTAATATACTCACTGCTAGTTTTGAGTCACAATTGGGTAAACGTGTCTTCACTAAAATTTTGGCTTGTTTTTATTGTTAATGCAAAAGGGCTTATGTTGGTTATTCTTTGATGTAATGTCCACCATATCTGGTCAGATACATGGCGAAACAATTAGATGCCAATCAAAATTACAGGACAAGGCAAAGAAGCTCCTCAAAATTCAATCCGATATATGGCTGAGAATAGATACATTGTTTCAAAGAACAAGATGCGTGGTTACTTTCCTCAGTAATTCACAATTTTAAGTGCTCCCAGGGGCAGATATTTTGCAAGTTAAATGAAAATTTTGAGCCAACATGATTACACTTTGACCGATCAAATGATAATTTGACTAGCTTTGCCAGCCAATGTAGATCAGATGTATTTCATCCCTAAACCCCATATATTACTGGTTGAACACGTAGATCAGATGGAGAGACCTGGTCCGCAGAGATGCAGAGGAGATGCCTCATCATGGAATTTGGGTTGTATCATCTCTATTGTCCCCATTACTTATTAGTAATTTATTCACCTGCTATAACCAATAGACATTCTCAATTCTCATATGTAGTATTTTATTTGGATGTTAATTGGAGATCCAGCGGACTTGATTTGATTGTTTCTATAAAATTAACATCAGTGTTTTTTTTTAGCAGATATGCTATTTACGCATTGTGGTCAATAATTGAAACTAGTTCTAGTTGTTTATAAACAGATGTTGTCAATATTTTATTAAACGTCTCACAAAAATCATAAGTCCAACCCTTCAGAAGTAAGTTTCAAAAACAAAGCTGTTTGTATTTATTTTACATATTTTTTTTAGAGAAAAAGGAAATAGTATGAGCACGTTCAACCATGCAGCAGCACTTGTTTCATATTCGTTGAACAAAATAAAAAAAAAGAAGGATTTCTTCGTTACTTTGATTTGTTAGGGGCTAGCAGTACACGGTTAAGGTATTCTCCCAAAGCCCATATGGGGAATATATTTCTGTAGGCTGAGTAACTGATCATGCAATTTTTATTGAACACTCCAATAATCTCCTGCAAAATATAAATATCATTTGATTATTAGAATATGCACTTTTTTTTTTATTTTGTCACGAGGCACAAAATATCTTTAGCTTTTTTTTTTATTAGGTTGGAGGAAGAGAATTCGAATCCAACCTTTTTTAGCATAAATTATATGCATATATCATCCATTTAAATAATTGTATTTTCCTCTTCACAAAATCACGTAAGAAAAATAATCGGTGTGAAAGATTTTGCTATACCCATCATTAATGGACGTCACAATGACAACATTTAGCCATGTACCATATTTCATATGGTGAAATTTTGTCATGTGACAATGAGTTGCAAAACTTTTTATGGAAAAAAGTTTTTATTTCAAATTAAGGGGAAAAAAAAAAAAAAAAAAAAACTTCTCCCTTCCTGTTTTCCCTTTTCTTTTTTATTCCTGGCCTCTTGCTAACCTGTAGCATACATTCCAAGCTGTAACCACTGCTTCTTAACAACACTTACAGTGAATCAAGAGCAGATAAAGAAGAAGAGTGGAATCATGAGGAAAAGGCATGGGTTGGGGGAGAAGGAGATGAAGCGTGCGAGGTGAGAGGGAAAAGGAAAAGAAGCTGTTCGATGGCGAAGGAGCCATCATATTGGTCTGTGACAGATAAAAAAAGCAAGACAAAGAAAAATAATAATAAAGAAAAGAAATTCACAATCAATAGTCTAGTGGCAACATTCACTATGTAGATAATGACACATGGCTAAAACTGCAATGTGGCTTTGTTGATGTGTCATTAATGTCAGACCAAAGAAAAAATATATATCATTAATTGTGGATTGAGGTCCTAAAATTGGTCTCCATGAAAAATAAGAACTTAAAATTCGAAATTCTATAAAGTTTTGGTCCAAAATTGGTTTTAGGCTTTCAAGGGATCTTTAATTTCAAAAGAAAAAGAAAAAAGTGTGTAAAAGACAGTAAGAGATTTACTTGCTGTGGGAAATCTCCATTTTCCAACTGTGAATTGAGCAACACCTTGGCTGCACGGTGCAATGGCATTGGATCTATGTCTGCTTGTCCACAGTCAATCAAGGCTAACATTGCCCATGCAGTTGTCACCAGATGCGACTTATTTTCGTCCAAATTTGTATGCACCTTTTCATAAAAAAGAGTAACAAATAATCACAAATTTTCAATCTAAAAGTAGAATTTCAACTTTCTAAGTTTACTCCAATGAAAATAAATGTCCAATTTTCAGGTAAAAAAATCAATAAATCTTGTAAATAGATATGGTACAACTGTTACATCTCAAGAATGAAATTAGTGCACAAAGCAACAAGAAAAACATTAAACAATCACTGATAGCTAGTTTTTTTCCCCATATTTTTACTCTTTTATCGTCTTTTTTGAGAGGAAATAAAGAGTCAAAGGTAATGCCATTGAATTAAAAAAAATGCAACATGGAAAATTTTTTTGGGTTGAAAATAAATTTTTTGCATGCGAAGGAAATCCTGAAATAGAAAAACTAGATCAGCATATAGTGTTAATTTTGAATAAAGTGACCTGTTTTTGGCTGGAAAGGTAACTTTCTCCCCAACCACCTGAATCGAGCTGCTTTGACAGTAAGAAATCACATGCTCTTCTGATACTAAAACAGTTGTGATATGTCCTATCACCAGCCACCAAACCCTTTATCCCAAACCATGTTCCATAGACAAAGCAAACTCCCCATGACCCATACCTAATTCATTTTGCACAATGTCATTAATAACAAAATATAAATTTTCAACATGACTACTTGTGGACAAATATTCTTCACTTAACATGACGACCAATTAAGAAAAGAACAATGCCAATGTTGCCAAATGAATGTGTTGTTGTTGTTGCTGCTTTGAAATGCCCTTTCTCTTTTAATTTGAAGCAAAAGGAGAGTTGACACTTTATCATCAAGACCAGAGTGCTACCACCCTAATTATAAAATATTATGTAGACATTTGATTTGTCTATGATCTTATTACTTATCTCTCGTCGAGTTCTAATGTTGTTCTATTTGAGACTTTTATATTATATAAAAATGGGTCTCATATATTTAATTAAAAATTGCATAGCATATTGTTGGTGTCAAGCTCGACTTAAAAAGTAAAGATCTAAAATCACAAAAGATTGAAAATCAATCAAAGACAAAGATCAAAAAAGCCTTTCATATTTGTATTCCAACGTTCATATCAATGCTTAATAGAAAAAGAAAGAGAGAAATCTAAAAGGAGAATTAGCTATTGATTGTCCATACTTAAGATGAGATGGGGTATTTATACCTAAAAGGTGGTGTAAATTTGGTAATTCAATCTCTTAAAGTCAAGTTTAAGATTGACGAGATCAACCCGAACTGACATGACAAGAGGACGTTCAACAAAAAAAAATGATAAATCAGCATACTCACATGCATGTTGTTAGGTGAAATATAGGTCTAGCTGAGCTAACATGAACTCTGAGAAATAAGGTCAACTTAACATGTCAAATCGATCTTAATAACCAAAATAGTCCTTGATTGATAATGAGCCACTTTCTTATTGGAAAAACCTATTATGCTCTTTGTAAACACCCTCTTTTGCCTAAAGATTTTTGAAATTTATTAAGTTTCAAATTTTAATTTTGATTGTACAATTGAGTCTTAATTGGAAAAGTGAATTTGAACCCAAAGACTAAGCCTTAAATTTTATTTGTATTTTAATTTTTTAGTTTAATTTTTTGGAATTTTTATTTTTAAGTTCAAAGAGTCAAAATCAATTGGTAAAAAACAAACAAAAAACAAAAAAAGGGTAAAAAAATTTTTAAAAAGTGGAATTTTGTATGGAAAATCTTGAATTCAATTCAACTCTTAGATTCTATCTCAGATTTTAACTTTAATGATTGAATAATTTTGGAAAGACTTTGGGCTCAATCTATTAAAAAAAAAATTATATAGAGAATAAAATTTGGAGAGAAATCCTAAATTCGATTGAATTAATTTCTTCCAAATCAAAAAAGATTTAATCCCTATATAAAGACCTTGAATCTGTGATCAAAGAAGGGGTCTTATAGCAATTCACTTCAAGATCAAATAGAAATCATTGAAAAGAGAGAAAATTTAGGCAAAGTTTTGAATCAACAAGGAAGAAGCAATCAAGCAAAAAAAATTTTACAAAAATATCCGGTTAGAGTTTTTAGAAAGAAATTTAAGATTTGTAGTAGGAAGCATCAATGTATGAAAGGTGAAAAATTATTGGAAACCATTGATGTAATGTTTGCTTTTTTTTTTTTGTGATTTTTGTATAACTTTTATAATATTTAATTGCTTACTCTTATTTTTATATTTATTGCATGGTATTTATTCTTACATGAATTTGCATGACTAATATTATATTTGCATGATAACTTATTTGCCTAATATATTTATTTGCATGATTAATATATTTATTTGTGTGATTTATTAATATATTTATTTGTATGATTATATTTAATTCGATTGCATGATTATTAATATATTTAATTACTTGATTATTAATATATTTATTTGCATGATTATATATTTAATTGCATGTTTATTTGCATTATTATATATTTAATTGTATGTTTATTTGCATAATCATATATTTAATTGCATGTTTTACATTGTTAATAGCATGATTATATAGATTATATATTTAATTGCATATCTATTTGCATGATTATTAATTTATTTATTTGTGTGATTGTATGATTATTAATATATTTATTTACATAGTTATTTATTTATTTATTTATTTTTATTATTGCATAATTTTATATTTAATGGATGATATGATATTATATCTTATTACATAATTAATATTATATTTGAATGATATTTAATTGCATGATTATATATGTAATTGCAAGATTATTCATAATTACTAATATTTTTGGTTGATTATATTTGATTTTATGATTATATATTTGCATGAATGGTTATTAATATATTTGCATGGTATTTTATATTATTGCATGATAATATACTTTCATGATATTATATATTTATATGATAGTTATTATTGCATTATAATTAATATATTTGCATGATATTCTTGCATGAATATTTTAGCATGATCTAGGCATGATATTATTACATGATATTTGGCATGATTTATAATATAATTGTATGATAAGTTTACTAAAGTATCATTTAATATTTATTGCATAACTGCTTGATATTTTGATAAAATTTTTGTAGCACCATGTTTTGTAAACAAATAAAAATATTGAAATTGATTAATTTGCATGATAAAAATCATCTTTGATAAGACTTAAATCAGCTAACACATAATTAATTTGGTACTAATTTTGGACATAAAAGGGTGCTAATACCTTCATTACACGTAACAAACTCTAAAACCTTAGTTCTGATGATGTAGACCAGAACCTATCTTTTTTAGGGACCCTTAGTTTATACTTAGGATAACCCTAAAAAGGATAGATTCATATAGGTGACCAATCACACCTAGGTAAAAAAAGATTGATGGCGACTCCATGATTTTTGTGTCTAATAGGTAGGTTTTCGACCTAGACGTTATGACAATTTGACAATTCTATTGGGAACTATAAAAAGTCAAGCCATTAGTTATTTATCTATTATTATAAGCCTTGCTTTGATAGTTTTTATTATGTAATTATTTATGATTTTCATGTGGACTAACCTATTTATTTGTGATTTCTTATTTATTTGTTTTGCAGATATTATTTTTTATTCACATATATCTATTTGATTACTCGACATGTTCTTTTACACACACCATACTTGCATTCATGCATAAGCTCTATACACGGGCTTTATCCTTTATTAGAAGGGAGCAAGTATCTACATTCTTGTGAAGTGATAACCTCCATGTGAGCTAACGAAAACTCCCACTCAAATTAAACCCTTTCAATTTGAGCTTATAATAGTGGGCAAGGATTGGGGTGCTCTACTAGTCTATAAAGGATGATGATGTAAGGAATAGTTTAGGAACCTTTAGATTGTTAAGCCTTTGAATCCAGCATATACATGAACCTTAAAGATCCAAACCTAGACTAAAGTTCTGCCCTCTTTTTAATTAGAAAAACCTAAATAGGACACATGATGGGATAGTTATTATTCTTGTAAATTTATGTTATTCCTTGTATATATTTTTGCATACTAACCTTTTTATATTTTGTTATTCCTTGTATATATTATATTATGTTAACTAACTTTTTTTCTCTCTACTTTATTATGTATGCATGCATCATTGAGATTTACATAAAGAGTGATTGCTACAAAAAAATCTTAACAAAAAGAATCTTAATTACATCCATGGTGAGCATATCAAAGTTTCCCATGTGCCTGAGAATGAAGTTTGAGGAACCTCAGCTTAAAAGAGGTGATTGTTTGCCAGCCAATTATATAACTACTCTGCATGCCAAAATTCATCTTAATCTTAAACAAAATGATTTTAACGATTTGGTTAGTATTTGGAACCAATTGAGTGTTAATGCCAATGAGACTTTTCCAGAAAAGTTTGGGGACCTTACATTACTTTTTTCAGTCCCTATTGATGATCAGCTTATTAGGGCCATGGTTCAATTTTGGGACCATTCATATCTCTGCTTTATATTCAATGAGGTTAACATGGTGCCAACCATTGAAGAATATTCAACTTTCCTTCGCTTGGATCTCTCAAATCTTGATAAGGCATATTGGAAAATAAAAAGACTGATTACCAAAAAAAGCTTGCTCAAATTATGGCCATAGATGTCCAAACTGTTGATAATTGGGTAAAAGGAAAAGGTGAAAATATTTGTATTCTATGGTCCATTGCTCATGACTTTATATACAAATATTTTAGCACTAAAAGAGGAATGGATTTGATAGCATTGGCTCTATATGGGATAATGGTATTTTCAAAAAATAATTGGTTATATTGATGTTGTAGTAGTAGATTTCTTTGATGAACTTGATTACCAAATCAACCATATTCTTACAATTTTGCTAAAACTATTAGATCTTTAAATCATTGTCGCTGAAATGAAAAGGGCTATTTTATTGAATGTGCTCAATTGTTAACCATTTCAATGAAAAGACATATCGAAAATAGCATTCGTAAATTTTGCCAGCCATATTTCTCTGCAAGTATTTTTATTAAAGAATTCTGTGAAATTTAATGGCCTACAAAAAAATCCAATGAAGCATGAACCTTATTTCTATGCAAGCTCACTAGCCAAAATGTGATATGGAGAGCTCTTTGAATGCTTTATGGACCAGTTTTATATGGTTGTGAAGATAAGTTTTAGGTTCCTCTTTTAGGCCTTTAAGGTACAGTGAGTTATTCTTTCATCATGATGCAAAGATAATATGGCTATGAACAATTTATCCCAACCACTTTCAGACATAGTAAAATAGAGTTCTCATATGTTGAAATTGATGTTTCCATAAAGATAGCCAAAGCCTTGCAAGCTTGAAATTTAACCTCAAAAGAAAAATAAGAGAAGGCACTTAAATGAAGTTTCCATAAGTATTTTGTGCGGCACATTAGGTGAGGTAAAGACATTAAAATCCCTGAAGAAACAACTTTAAATGGCCTAATAAAATCACCACATCTTGATCCCTTATTGGTAGTGAAAACCACTAAAAGAAAACTCTAATTTGAAAAAGATGAATTGGAGCTTGAAATCAAAAAGCGAAAAAAAGAGTAAGAAGAAAAAATGGACAAAAAGGTTTAAGCACTCAAA